CTTTGTTTGAAGTTTTGCTTCGTTTTCTAGTACTGTAATATTAATAAAATTATGTATTTTGATTGGTTAATTATCACGGGAAATCACGGGTAGATCTACAAAAATTAACCAATCATACGAATGTCTGCCTATGAAGGGTAACCCCTGTCGTGTAACTAAGTAAAAATGCTCCTCTCGCAATTTTACCCTACTCTAACTCCAAACCCTAACCCTAATGTTAATATGGTTGCAAAATTTTTCTATAAAAAAACTATTTTAATAGTACGGCTACATGTAGCCTATGGCTACAAATAAATTAATTCAAAAAAGATTTTAAATTTTAAAAAAAAATCATAAACAAATTTATAGCAATTTCTAGACAAATTTGCCTGGAATTGCTTTACAATTTAAGGTATAAGCAAAAAGATATATATACTTATACTTGATAGTCTTCTAGTTAAATAGAATAATTCTCTAATTACGTGTTAATCAACGATAGAGGGTGTAGAACCATATAACTGATAAGACGGTTTTTATTAATGATTTTCTAAAAACCAATAGGTATTCTCACTTATTATGTACTTCGATATAATAATTATACCTATATATCGCTTTTATTCAGCATATTCTGTCTAGTCGTTGCTTAATTTTCTTAATTTGAAGATTGAAATTAACGATGTTTTAGTAATTTATATCCTTGATTTTGGGGTTTTGAATTTGACGCTATTGATTAAAACTATTTGGATTTTGATTATCCTAAATGAAGTAGAAATCTCGATTCTCAAACTCAGGTTATGTAGTAATGATATTATGCTCCTTTTGAAAAGCAACGAATTCTTCTTCTTTAGTTTTATATGACTGAACTAATTGATCTATCGCTCTTTTAATCTTGAAAAAAAACAAATCCATATGAAATTAATATTTAGAATATTCAAATTAATACATTAATTAAAAATACATGTACCCCATCGTGATTTGTTTGAAGAGCGGGCAACACATCTTTTACGGTACGTTCAACCAACACACCACCCACAAGTCGAAAGCATTTCCGATCGCCGTTTAGAGGGGATATTGTATCTATCACGGCCCTTTTAAATAGATTAAATTCATATACAATCACATTATTCAATGTAAAGAAAATTATACTCTACTTATGCTCCTCGACTTCCGATTCAAGTTCACCAATTTTTTGTGCAATGGTTTGTAATTCGTTTTTCTTGAGGTTAAATTGCGTAGTTACCTCTATTTTTTAAAAAAAGATAAACGTTGGCGCTAAAGAGGTATTTCATAGAAATCTAAAGAAATACGTTATTTTTAACCTTGATTGGTAAGCTTCTTAGATTTGGAAGAAGACATTGTAAATTAAAAAGTGCCGATGCTTAACGATAATCATATTCATTAATTAGCCAATAAAACCAATTTATTTTGTACCACAAAACCCTTATAAATAGCAAAAGAAAAAATTCGCCTTATAAAATATTTTCATGAATGGTCAGTCGGACTGATATAATGCTTGAACATGCTTGTAAGTGGGGCAGCTGTTCTGAAAAGTTCAATTCAGTTTCTTCTCTTTGGGAACACGTAGAGCGTCACATTGATAATGCAGAGCCAAGAATGATACACTTCGTGAACGATGATGGTAACAAATTGTATTGATCGGAGTTGATTAGTTACTTGCAATGTTAGTTTACAAGAGCCACGTGCCATATTGTAATATATTAGACACATTAGACACGCCGCAAGCAAAGATCGCGACATCTTCAGCTCCGACCACTTTAGCCGAAAAGACTCGAGGACCTTTCCAATCAACCTCTCTTCATAATGCAAGTGCTCCAACAAACGTAGACAGTCATTCCGCACAAATTACTAGTATCCAACAAAGTACGATACAATTTTCACAGCAAACATTAGGCAATTCATATTTAGTAAATCAAGCCGGCCAAGTTGCGTTCAATCCTCTGCAAATAATCAGGCCAGGGCCACAAGGCGTAACACAGGGCGTTCAGCCGGTAAATTTTGTACAACAACCATATATTATAACAGCAACACCTCAAATTATGATGAGACCTACACCAATTTATGGGCTGCAGCATTATCAACCAACTATTAATCTGCAGGGGGTTAATGCACCTCAACCGACATCTATACAACCACAGCCTTCTGGAACACGACCGATTGCAATTGGAAACACATCTAATTCAATACCAACTACTGATGATAATGTTTCAAGAGTTGGGGGATCAAATCGGGTATCTGGGGGCATTATCCGACCTCCTCTTCAATCTATCGCACCTCAATCTTTGCAAATTACTAGTCGTAATCCACCGGCCGTTCAAAGAGATCCCCAGTAAGCCCAATAAGGTATCAAATTATACTATATTTATTGGACGAGTATCGCATTTTATATTAATAAATGCTTTAATTTGATAAAATCGGCCTAGGAATACGAGATGATTTTAACTAGTTTAGTGTCATGAATAACATAAATGATCAATCATAACAAAGCAATCAAATACCATGATATTTTACATTTATTGGTGTACAATTTTTTTTACATAATTATTTTGCGTTCCAGTCTTAATCTGTGCTTTAACATTAAATTTGGAAATTTTGACTAGTTACATACTTTGGTTTCATTTTGTTCTGTAGTTTCTTTAGATATATTTTCAAAATTTTTATAATGAAAATGATCCTTTTTTTAGTACCCTTCGTAAAAATTCTAGTGTGCAACTATGGGATTATTACCATATCCGCGGATATTTGGAATTACTATTTAAATTTTCAAAATTTTTAACCATAAACCAACTTTTGATTCACCGGTCCGTTTTGGATGATTTTACCATCAAAATGACCGTCTCAATGAAACGATTAAAATCCAATCTTGGGATTCAGAGATATTTAAGGATTTGAGTCATTTCGGGTGTTTTAGGATCGATTAAGCCAATCCTAAAACACCCGAAGTGACACAAATCCTTAACTATCTCGGGATCCCGTGATTGGATTTTGGATTCGTAACTTACTGACTTATGTCAAGAAAATTTCGGGCTAAAGATTGCTAAATCTCAGTTCTAGAATGCTTCTAGAATAATTCGCAAAATTTTGATTGGCTTTTAATGGTCTTTTTGCATTTTTGCAGTATTTTACTTTACATAAATGATAAACTAATTTGAAATAAAGAGTCTTTAAATTAATAATTTTTTCATAATTTTTTTTTTAAAAAAGATAAACATAAAAGTTATAACCAGAGAGCAGGGTTGGCAATGGAGTTCAATGGAGCCAATGGAGCTGCGAATAGAGCCAATGGAGCTCTGAATGGAGCCAATGGATACTAGTTTTTTGAACTCCATTCACATAACCATTTAACTCTATTGGCTCTATTGCCAACCCTGCCAGAGAGTGATTATAGTGAAATGTGATGCAGATTACTTATAGAAATTGGAGTTTTGTGAATGTGGTGTGTACATATTTAAATCTTTTTTTTATACTAAGTTAATCACTCTTCTAACTTAAGAGACTTGTAAAGCTTGTTGAAACATATCTAATAGTAGTTAAATCATCTAAATCAGCCTAATAGATGCCAAGATATCTTTAAAAAACCTTTTTTTAACTACTGTATATAAATTTCTTTAAAACAATACTATTGTTTTACAAAGAAATTTATATAGTTAAAGAAAAGTTTTTTAAAAATATTTTGGCATCTATCAAGCCAATTTAGATAATTTAGCTACTGTTAGATATATTTCAACAAGCTTTACAAAAGTTTCTTAAATTAGAAGAGTAGTTAACTTAGTATAAAAAAAAAGTTTTAGATATGTGCATATCATATTTGCAAAATCTTAATTTCTATAAGTGATTTGTATCACATTTTACTATAATTACTCTCTGGTTAATTCATGGATTACCAATTAATATAAATAAAATTAATATTTTAATTTTTTTTAAAAAAAATATTAATTATAATAAATAATATTTAAAAACAATATTGCAGTTCTTAATAGCTAATTAAGAAACAAAAGCTAAAGATCTTTCTTGTATATTTTTTGATCTAGTTCATTATTATAAAAAACAAGATTTAAATACTTGTAACATACTATTAAAATTAGATATTGAAGAAATAGTAATATACTAATAATAGCTAAAATGCTTTAAGCATTTTAAGATCTTATATCAAAGCTTAAAGATTGATATTTTTATTTGAATAAATTATTATAATCAAGTTATAGCTAATAAAAACTTTAATCAATATCTTTTAAATAGTTTTTAGTAAAATATCTTAATTTAATATTAGTTTCAATACTAATAAAATACTGTAATTGTTAATAATATATTATGCTATTTATTTGTTTAAAAAAATTATAAAATATAATAGATATTGTATATAATTATAAAATTACAATAACAAGTATAAAACAAAACCAAAATAATATCTAGATTAAATAAACAACTCAAAAAATATTAAATAATAAATTCTTAATTAGAAATATTATATCAAGAACAGTATAAAGTAAATTAAAAGACTACTTAAATAGGCAATCAAAAGTTGCATGTATAGCTAGTCGTACTCTCGTTAGTATGATGCCTACATCTAATCCTTTTATTTTGAGACCTGAGACTTTAACCTCTATTACTCAGTTCTTTCTCCAGAACTGGGAGAGTATTTATTCCTGTACTAAACTTGCTAGAATACATAGTATATATTCTATATATATATTTACTCAGACTTTCGGTAACTTATGCTATGGCTTTACCCACATACTTAGAAGTTATTCACTCCTACAATTACTTACTAATGCCTTTGCAAAGTTCGGTATTTAGATCCCGGTACCCACTTTCCATTTCTTTCATGCCCTGTGTTCTTGGTTTCCTTAATCTTCCAATCTAGTTAGCTTGGCAGAGTTGGTTTCCCCAGGCTTTAAGTGCTTTCTGAGTCTCTTTCTCTTGGTATACGCTTCTAAAGCATATGTTCTTTTCTTTTGATGTGACTCTGGCAGCCAGCTTGGTAGTAGTGATTTAAGCTGGCTATAGCAGCCACAGCTAAGCTGGCTTAGCTGGCTGAGCCAGCCAATATAATATGATCAGCTAGCTAATGTGGCTAAAGATCATAATTAAGTATATAGTAAGAATCTAATAAATTCTAAAAAGAAAAGCTAAATTTTTAGAAGTTTACCAAAAATTTCTGAAGTATAGTATATATTTGTTAACTGTTAGCTAGCCAATTAGCCAATATTTTAGTCAGCTGGCTTAGCCAACCAACTAAAACCTTATGGCTTAAATCACTACTTGGTAGATCCCCCTATCGCAGAATCTTGTTAGCTAATTCTACCAATTTTTCAGTTCAATTCAGATCTGTTCTATAACACTATCAAAGATCCTTACTACTTCTTTGCTCGAGTCTTGCCAAGCCAGTTCCAGATCTTCAAGTCCTCTCTGTTGGTTTAATATAATCCCAGAAGTCTTATTATGAGTTTGTGCTGCCTAAACCGGTTTGCATTCCTCTGCATAACACAGATACTTCCAGAATCTTCTAGTATACAAGATGTATTGGTGTAACTAGAGTTATAGGTAATAGAACCCAACTTATTGATAAAGATCTGTTATTATAACACAAGTAGTTTTGTCCAAACTATCACCAGTGGGATTCAAACTCGGTATCATAGTTAAGCTAGCTTGGGAGTGCGACAACTCTACAACTACTCTAAGTCACCACACTCAGAGTTGTAAAATTTTTTTTTTTTTTTTCGGTATTAAATAAAGTCCTTGGCCTGGAAACTTTTTATTAGTAATTATTAGTTATTACAGTTACAATAAAGATACAACTAGCCACACGTGTACCTTTTGGATGCCTATTTAAGTAGTCCGCCCACAAGTTCTATACTAGATATCATACCTATAACCCAACTAGAGAGTTACTCTTTTAAATCTTCTAATCCTAACTGTATTTATAACCTATTATACTAATCCAGGAACTACTATCTGGCCCGTTTCTCTAGATTTTGCACCCTGCCTTAGGACTTTTGTAACTTATCCTGGGTTTGTACTGACTAATTACCAGCTTGTATTCCTCCATTAAGTAGACATATAGCTATCCACAAGGTAAACTTACTAGAGCTTTCCCTATCCTATTTTGGGCTAACCTAGTTTTGCATAGTTGCCAAGGCTCCCACTTGCAGTTAGGCTATTACCTATTTAACCGCTTTTGCCCTTATAAGGTTTGCTTTCCAACCCCAATACTCATATTTAGACCTTTCCTTTTTCTATTATTTCCTTATTAGTCTATCCCTTACTTCCAACTGATGACCCAGAAGATTCGACTTTGGCTTGGCATTAGGTGCCTGATGCTCTCGTCTCATCTTGGT